CCAACATAGTGAAATGCCGTCTCTACTAAAAGTACAAAAAAATCAACCGGACATGGTAGCAGGTACCTATAATCCCAGCTACTTGGGAGGCTGAGGCAGGGGAATCACTTGAACCTGGGAGGCGGAGGTTGCAGTGAGGTGAGATTGTGCCACTGCATTCAGCCTGGGCAATGAGAGTGAGAGTCTGTCTCAAAAAAAAAAAGTCAAATTTTAAAACCTTTTCCCTGTTGCTTCTAGATTGAATCATAGTTAGGAAAGCTTTTCCTGTTACCAGCTTAGAAAAGGAATGCACCCATGTTTTTTCTAGTGCCGATTTTTTCATTCTTTAAGTTTAGATCTCAGATCCATCTGGAGTTTATCCTGGTGAACAAGGTTAGGAAGTGATCTACTTGCATTCTTTTTTATGCGGCTACCCAATTGCCCCCAATTTTTTTTTTTTTAATTCCAGTGAAAAGAAAATGAAGTATTACTTTTTGTTTACATGTCTGTTTTAAATAGTTCTGGGTTACTATAGGTATTTCAGGTAATTGTGCAAACAATATTATAACATTGAGTGAGAAAACACAGAAAAAGCAACAAGTCATCTATAATCTCTGACTATAGCCATGCTCTTTTCAGTGTATAACTCGTCTTCTTTCTTTCTAGGTCAATGAGCTGGACGGTATCCCGTTGATCCTGGACAACTGCAGCGTCAGTGACAGTAACCCCTGTATCCTTGCATGCGAATGACCATGCACTAGTACAGCCAGGGCCTTAGCAAAACAAGTCTCTTTCCTTGTGTTCTTTCAATATGTAGCCGGCTGCCTTGCTTGTTTACTTGTCCTGAGAACTAGATCATTTTCTCAGAGTTACGGTGCTAGAATATCACTTCTGTAACCTTTGTACTATGGTAAGCTAATTTCTTCAAAGTGAGTAAGACATTTCAAATGGGCATGTGGCTGAAAAGCACTTAAAAACCTGGGGCAGGGGTAGCCCATGCAAGGCCTGTGCGGCACGTCACCTTTCCCATGTGTGTGGTCTTCAGAGCAAACGTGAACAATTGTGTATTGTTTTGCTGTAGAGATTCTGAGTATTCAGTCCTTCGGAAGAACTATTTTAACAAGGGATTGGCAACATAGAAACATGAGGAGCACTCTGGCTCCCTAGCAAGAGGGAGGAGTACTTCAGTGGTGCTGAATTCTCATCTTCAGAGGGGTCGTTCTGCAGCCCTCTGCTGCAGAAGCTGGGAGCTTTGGCTCTTACCCCTAGCTTGACGTGGCCACCCTTGCTGGAGGGTGTTCTGCAGGGACCCTGCTTTTTTCCTACCACTTCAAGTAATTGTACTATACAAAGCTAACCTAGTACAGTGGTGAGTAACCAGGGACCAGATACAGCTTGTTTAGATTTGAGATAAAACCTACTGTTTAATTTCACGAACTTCCTTGGTGAGAGCCGAACTCAGCTGTGTCCCTCGTCCTGGTCACTGCATGGTCCTGTGCCCATTACCTGGGGATGGGGCAGGGCAGGGCAGAATAAGGCTACTATACGGACTTTAGGAGTGTAGCCTGCGGGAGGCAGTGAGGGGCCCAGCCTAGCACTGACTGAGGAGGGGGTCATTTTAAAAATCAGACTCTCTGCACTATGGCTTCTGCCAAGAAGAGAAAAGGAACTGATGAAAATCATGTGTTTCAAAGTAAGTAGACTGAGCAGTCTTATTGTTTGTGCTGTGATACTGTCATTTGTCTGATTAGCGATAGAAAACAATCTTATTTTAAAGAGCATAGTAGCTTGTAATTTCGGTCAGGAAAAGACAAATACACAGCCTCAGAAAACTCCTCTTCAGGGTAAAGCAAGTTGGTTCAGTGACTGGCGTTGTGGTGAGTCCCTGTAGGCTGTGTTCATTAAAGAGTGTTGACATTTTTTTAGCCCCCAAAAAAGGAAAGAAAAAAGAAGAAAGCTTCTAGTCACAGTAAAGCAGTACAAGAATGTCCAGGTACAACTGCAGATGTTGCATTTCCCAATGAAAAGGATGATTTATTATGAAAAAAGAAATTCACTCACAGTTTACTTTGAGTGAATTCCCTGAATTGACCTTAAGACCAAAAAATAAAAAGACTGTTGTCCACGAGCACGTCTTAGGCCCACAGGTGCTCGCAGCACCTTCCACACTGGGGTCCTCCTTGCCAGATGGCCATTCATTCATTCACTTCTTCCTCCAGGAAACTTTGGTTCAGTCCCTCTTGTGTGTTTACACCCATTGCTGTATCGAACCCTGACAACACCATGAAGCAGATACTATTCTCGTCATCCCTATGTTGTAGATGACGAAATAAAACTGAGTCTCTAGCCTGTCCAGAGGTCAGAACCAGGTAAACATGTAAGTGCCTGGCCCTTAGCCATTTCTCCACGCTGGCTTCTTACAAGTCACTGGGAGGAGACAGAGCGCATGCAGAGAACCACATAAACATATTCATGTAGTGGAGAAATGATTCAGACTTACACATTTAAAAATGTATATGGATATCTGTATCTTTAGCTAGATAACTGGCTTTTAGAATGATAGTCAGTGAAACATTGCAAGATCACGGAATCTCCTCTGAATCATTAAGAAAAGATAAAATACCACGAACACCTTTAGTGTTAATGTGTATTCAGTAATTCTTTGGAGTTTTATTTATTAAGCCTACCAGATTCTAAAGGCATATAAAATGTAATAAGATACGAGACACATAGTGAAATATCAGCACAAAGGGAGAATGATAGTTGAATGGTGAGAAATGAAAAAAACATTACAGCCTAGAGATTCTGTTTTTAGATGTGAGATCTAAATTAAAACCTGGCTTTCATAGTCCTAAAGCAAATAACGACATGATACAGATTACAAAATTTACCTGATTCCATAGGTAAATCCACATTGATGCTCCTTCCAGACTATTCTCAGAGAATTATCCAGCGATTCTGGCTTTACTCCTCACTTCCCATTCACTCTTTTCCCCGTCTTGTGCTTTTTTTCTTTTATTTTTTTTTTTTTTTTTTTTTTTTTTTTTTTTAATTCATGAAAATAATACATCTATATGGGGGTTTTTAAATATCAAAAGGTATTCCGTAAGGGAACAATGTCTTTAGTTCCACTTTCTACACTTTTTGATTCACTCTCTTCTTCTGGTAGCTACTTTTGTATATCTAAATAATATGCTTTGCTGCTTTTTCTCGATATATCAAGTTTCGGTGTGACCTGTTTATATTTGATATGAGCATTGAGCTTCTGTACACCACCTCCTCCCCTCCCTACCTAATGCTTCCACTGGAGTTAGGACTGCACATCCTGTTCCCTGTTGCCCAGGCTGGGGATGAGGCTTAGCATCTTCTAAAGTGTTTGCTATTTGAGGCTGTGTGTGTGTGTGTGTGTGTGTGTGTGTGTGTGTGTGTGTGTGTGTACATTACAGTGTGCACATTACAGTGTGCTTGGTCAGACCTTTTGCCCATTGGGATATTTTTCTTTACTATTTGTTTGTTAACACATCTTTATGTATTCTAGATTGAAGTTCTTTGTCAGCTGTATGTGTTGCTAATATTTTCTCTTTCCTGTTCTGTGATTATCTTCTCATTTTCTTCATAGTTTCTTTTGAATAACTGAAGTTCTTAACAATTATTCAAATTTATCACTTTTCCTTTATGGTTAGGGTTTTTTGCACATGTATCTTGTTTTAAGAAGTACTTCTTTACCCTGAGGTTATGATGTCCCCACGGGACATCTGCAGATAATATGTTATCTTTTGAATGCTTTATAGTTTTACCTTTTATATAAAAGTCTGTTATTCATTTAGAGTCAGCTTTTGTGTATGGAATGTGTTAGGGTCTATTTCTATTTTCTCCACATTTCAGGTAATTGTCCTGGCCCTAGTTACTGAAAAGAACATTGTTCACTATAGTGCCCCCTTTATCAGAAATATTCGTATAAGTTTGGGTCTTTTTGTGGACTCTGCTTTCTTTTCCATTCATCTTTTTTGTCTATCTCTGCACCAATATGATGGTCTTAATTACTGTAGCTTTCCAGCATGCCTTGATAAAGGATAAGTCAGCTCTTCCAGTTTGTCTCTTCTTTTTTAACAGGTTAGGACTATTTTTGGCCATTTTAATTTTTCCATAAAAGTTTTAGAATCAGCTTATTAAATTCACATTTGGTCATGTGCACACGCACATACATATATATACCTGTACACATACAAATACCTCATACACCACTAACAAAAACAATTTAAAACTCTCACATACTGAGTTATTCACTGAAATTTCATTGACTAAAATGAATTTGATGGGAGTTGACGTACAGTACTGAGTTTCCAACCCATGAACGTGTTGCATCTGTCCACTTGTTTAGGGTTATTAATTTGCAGTTTTACTCCATATACTTCCTGAACTCCATTGCGTGGATTTTGGCATGTATTATTTTGTTACCATTCATTTCAATATGCTTTTTAATTTTTAGTATAACTTCTTTTTTGACCCGTGGATTATTAGAAATCCATTTCTAAACAATTCAGAATTGTTTAGTTATCTTTTGGAGCTTGATTTCTAGTATAAATGCATTGTGATCAAATAGCACCTACTTGATAGCCTCTGTTTTATGAAATGTGTTGAGACTTGATTTATGTCCTGGTAATATGGTCGTTTTTGCAAATGTTCTATGTGAGCGTGAAAAGCATGTCTGTTTTCCAGTACTGGGGTATAGTAATTTATATACATACATTAGGTCAAGTTTGTAAATGGTGGTGTTTAAAACTTTTATGTTTTTACTTATATTTTTGTCTACTTTGATTTATCAGTTAGAGAGAGATGTTTTAAAATAGCCTATGATTGTGGATTCATCTAATTTTCTTTTCGTTATATAAATTTTCCCTTTATATGTTTTGAGGCAAGGTTTTTAGGGAAAGGTGTACACTGGGTCCTGAGAAATAGTCCTGTTATCATTATGAAGTGACTCTCCTTATCTCTAAAAATTATTTTCTGCCTCATATTAATATAGCTGTCCTAGCTTGCTTTGGATTGGTATTTACATGGGATAATTTTATCAGTTCTTTTATTCTCAAGCTTTCTGTCTGATGTGTTTCTTGTATAAAGTACATACAGTCAGATGCCACATAGTCATGTTTTGGTCAATACAGACCCATATTCAACCTTGGTCTCATAAGGCTGTAATAGTGTATTTTTACTGTACCTTTTCTATGTTTAGATCCACAAATACTTATCATTGCATTACAGTTGCCTACAGAGTATTAAGTACAGTTACATGCTGTTTAAATGATCTTTTAAAAACAAAATCAGTGGAGTGATCCTCTCTGACTCTCCCATTTCCCACCCCGCCTTGCATAAGCTCGCCCCTGTTCACGGAGCCTCCTGGACTGCCCATCATCCTCAAACTAGGCCTAGTCTGTCACATTCTGAAAGATCCCCTTCATCTGTATCCACTGTCATTCTCCCCTTCCTCAGCATTCCCCAGGCACACCGACAATTCTAAGTTCCCGCGTGAAGGCAGCCGTCCGAGCGCATCTCTGCCTGTGCTCCTCCCAGGCTTGGTCATCCTTGTGCTTCACACCCAGCATCCTGTGTCTCTTCTCTCACGTCCCAGCCCACACAGGGGCTCCCGCCAGTCCCTGCCAAAACTTGCTCTGTTCCTTCAGCTCATCACAGGTTATTGTTAAATATGTGTGCATTTATGTCTGGATTACC